TCTCAGGGATGCAGGATCATGGCTCTGGTGAGGGGAGGGGAAGTGGAGGAGCAGAGCTGAGCCAGGGTGTTCATCTGTGCCCGAGTTTCACATGTTCCAATGCAGGGAGTCAGGGGGAGTCCACCCAGCTGTCCTCTTCTCCCCTTGCCACCCTGGGTCTGAGTGTAAGTAAATCCTGTGTGTGTGTTTCTTTCTTTCCACCAACTGCCCCACGTGATGTTCTATTCTTGCTGTGTAGTGGCCAAGGTCTAACTGACATTGTCTTCTGTCCTACTTTGACAGAGAGAATGATATCACCCCGGTGCTGGACCACACTTTTTGCGTGGAACACAATGCTTTTGGGCGGATTCTTCAGCATGAACTGAAACCCAATGGTAGAAATGTGCCTGTCACAGAGGAGAACAAGAAAGAATATGTTCGGTAATGTCCAGGGCAGCCTCAATGGTTGCCTGTGGGGACAGCCAGATGCCTGGGATCATCCTGGGTGCAGCTGGGGTCATGTTTCGATTCCTATAGCTCCTTCACTGTGTGAAATCTTCCTGTCTGCGATGGCACTTGTGACCAGAGTCACATTAATGGAGGCAGTTTTCAGAAACCATCAGCAACAGCAGTGGTGGGTCTGCTGGGGGCCCAGATGAGTCTAGGCTGGCCCAGGTGAGGGAAGGACATTCAAGTGACCACTGGATTCTGAGTGCAGAGACAGGGTGGTCAGGAGACAGCAGCCCAGAGGGTTCTTTGTGCTCAGTCTTGAGAATGCTATCATGACATCTTTATACTTGAGGCAAATCCATACTAGGGACTAGGTGCTCGCCCTGGCTATTCAGAAGCAGGAGTGTGTGTCTGTGCTGGGAATGACGCACAGTTCCCATGCCATATCATGTAGTATTTTCAAATATACTTCTAAATTGTGGCAGTTGCTGTAACAGGTCAGGTTAAATCCCACTGCTTTTACAGTATCCTGCTGTTTTTAGTAAAGACCCAGAATGCATAAGGGCATGTTCTGATTCATTTTTAATCTGAAACTAAGGCTTGGTGCTGCCAGCTGGTTTGGGGTTGTCTGTGTGGGGAGGGGGCAGGCCAGGTGTTCTGCTCAGTGGGACTGTCTGCATCATATTCACACATTTGTTGGATTGTGATATCAGAACCTGCTAATGAAGGTAAATCCATTTGGTACTGCTCCTAACCTGTGAGTTTTTCTTTCAGGTTGTACGTAAATTGGAGGTTTATGAGAGGAATTGAAGCCCAGTTTTTAGCTCTTCAAAAAGGGTTCAATGAGCTTATTCCTCAACACCTACTGAAGCCTTTTGACCAGAAGGAACTAGAGGTATGTTCTTGGCATGAGGAGTCAATTCAAGGCATGGTAGGATTCTAGAGTGGCCATTGTTTGCCTGTTTTAAGTCCTTGCTGCAGAGGAAGGCTTGCACTTTCTCCTGGTAAGCCCAGGAGCCTGTCAGGGGTCCCAGGTTAAAGTGGGGCCAGAGTGAGAAGGGATCCAAGGGCTTTTGTGCCAGTGTGTAAGAAGCACAGTCTCACTGGTGGCAGTAAGCCTGAATCACTCAGGAAATCATTCATGGTGTTTGTGTCCTCTCCTACTTCCAAGCTCTCTAGCAGGAGGGAGTCCCAGTTATAGTCATCTCTGATTGGAGAAATTATCTGATATATATATAGATATATACATAACCAAGTTCTCCCACCATGTCACCTTTTTGTTTTTTATTTGGTTATTCTCAGACTGAGAACAAAATTATTGTCCTCTCTAGTCAGATTTCATGTACTTGAGCATAATGATTCATTCATCCCTCAGCCATCTCTATTTGGTATTAAATAACTCAAGCCTTTCAGATTGTTCTTATAGTCCTTCTGGTACCAGTGAGATGCCGAGAGCTTGCAAGCCAAGGCAGGCTTCCTTGGACGGAGCAGTAGTTCTGGGGTGAGCTTTTTAAACAGGCTGTGGAAACACACTTCATCTATCCCAGCCCCACATAACCCTTGCTGAACTTGCCTCCCTTCAGACTTGAAACACATGTTGTTGAGTATCTTGCAGAAACCACTGTGATGGACCTTTCACAGTTAGCTCTGATCAGTCTTGCTAGTTTGTTCTTTGATCCTCTCTCCTCCCCAATGCAGAGCAGAAACACAAACTTTGCTAATAAGATAACTATATCAGTAGCTGTGCTCTCTGGTCCTAGGGCAGCAAACCAACCTGGCCTTTAGGCCTACTATTAATTTATAGCTGCTTCTTCTCTCATCATCTGTCTAGTTTATTTGGACATGGATGCTTCTTGGCTTGGGAACTAAGTTTTTAACTCCTCTCATATAGTGGGAATCTAGGAGGCATGTAATAATATTGGTCTATACATTGTGGAAGTAACTTATCTTTAAATACCTTCTCAGTTGATAATAGGCGGCCTGGATAAAATAGACTTGAATGACTGGAAGTCAAACACGCGACTGAAGCACTGTGTGGCTGACAGCAACATCGTCAGGTGGTTCTGGCAAGCAGTGGAGACATTTGATGAAGAAAGGAGGGCCCGGCTCCTACAGTTTGTGACTGGATCCACAAGAGTCCCTCTCCAAGGCTTCAAGGCTTTGCAAGGTGACTGACGTGGAGGCAGGGCCATTCGATTACACATGTACACTGAGGATGTTCTGAAACACTGAGGAAGACCTGAAAGATGATTGGGACGTTTTTCTAAAACATCCACTAGAAAATGATATAAACAAAATGTTCAGCACCACAGAGGTGCCTACTGGGTAGGTGCTATCTGGTCTGTGAGCAGGTGTAGAAGCCCCACTGAACAAAGACTACACAGCCACTCTGGGGCCTGTGGTTCTCACTTCCTCATTTCTTCCAAAAACCTGAGAGGGTTGATAAGCAGAGGCATTTGGGTATCTGGTGAGGCTGTGACTACCTGCCTCTGTGAAGCCAGCTTACCCAAGACCCAGGTGGGAAGTATTGGGTGGCCAACCCCAGTCTTAGTGGCCCCTTGGCTTGAAGTTGTAGATGAAGTCCTGTTTAGCTATGAACCACACTGAAGGAAGATGTTGTACTCAATCTGTTTAGCTGTATGTGGGGTGGAATCCACAGGAAAGGTCCTGAGCTTCCCATTAGGAACATGTTAGGCAGGCAGCCTGGCATGTCATCTCTTACACTTAGTGTCTGGAAGGAGTTTGCTGATAGCTGGAAGGAGCACAGTGAAGACTATTAATATATTGACCTTTAGATATGACTAGGCATACAGATATATTACAAATACAGAATATTGCCTCTGAGGCTTTCAAGAATCTCATTGAACTTCATCTGGTTTTGGTTATGAGGGTACTTGTGCCTTTTCCATAGTGACCTCTGCCTATAGAACTTTTGCAGGGGGGCTCTGCATGTATAAAAAGGATTCTAGATGAGCGTTCCCTAACCCTTTGTATATGGCGCCTCCATCTGTAGAGCCAGTTTACTAATTCCAGCTATTCTCAGTGCCCTTTCTTATCTAATTATCTTCCAACCTAGAGAGCCTGTCTTAGCAGGGATTATTCTCTCCATGACACAGATGAGGAAACTGAGACTCACTGAGGTGATAGGATTTATCAGGGGTCCTCAAACTTTTTAAACAGGGGACAGTTTACTGTCCTTCAGACCATTAGAGGGCCGGACTGCAGGCCCCAGGATGAGTCGGCCGGTAAGCAGGATAGGCAGCGGTGGCAAAAACACCCGCAGGCCAGATAAATGTCCTAGGCAGGCTGCATGTGGCCCATGGGCTGTAGTTTGAGGACTCCTGGGATTTATTTTCTCCCCAGGAAAAAGTAAGGTGGTGAGCAGTAAGCTACCACCTTACTAGGCAGGAATCTAGGTTTTGTGATTCTTGAGTCTTGCTTGTCTCATGACATCACCATCACCCTCTTGCTAAACATTCCTATTTAGAAAAAATCCCTGTGTCTATAAGAATCTTAGCAATATCCTCCATAATTGGATGGGAATTGGCTAAGTATCCCTGTAGCCGTTAGAAGGTGGTGGTGGGGGGGAATCAGCCCAAATAAGAGGTCAAATGTGACCAGGGGTCACCTGACAGGAAAGGCAATTGAATGCTGCAGGGCATGGTGGGAAACTGGTTCCTTAATTCCAAGAAATCTAAGCTCAGGGATACAAAGCAGGCACCAAGCATCCAGGGCCCAGCAGAATGTCTCCCCAGAAGTACCTGCGGCATGCCTGGCACAACTTGCCCTGGCTCTCTAGGAGATGGGGCTCAAAGTGTGGTCTGAGAGGAAGGAACCCCTTATCCCTACTGCCCACCGAGGTATATCCAGGACCGAGTGGGCCAGACTCACCTCCAAGTGGCCAGAGACTCTCTCAACTCCATAAAGTCAGTAATCTCTGTTTGCCATCATTTCTCTTGGCTTGGAGTTCTGCTGACCTGTGCCCAAGTCAAAGAGAACATCTGTAAAAGTGCAGGAATGAATATCAGCAAGACAGAGGGCAGTGGCCTCTGCAACCACTTTGCCCTGTGTCCTGCAACCCTCTGTCAGCAGACAGTTGGTGCCAGCTTGGCCCTGTCTTTGCAGCTGTTGTTCAGGCTGCTGGCCAGCCTGGTGCCCACTTGGGGCTGAGTTTGGAAAGACTTAGGGTACAGTGGAGCCTGTTCTACAGAATTGGTTGGCAAGTCCTCTAGTCCAAAGGGTGGGCACATAGGTTTGACTCTTGGTTCCCCCACTGGAGTAGGCTCATTGTCAGAGTGTACAAAGGAGACTTCTCATCAGTCTTTGCTTTGCCCCCACGATGTTCTCAAATGTCTGAATTTTGTCACTTGATGGCCATTGCAGGCATATCCTAAAACTGGATGTGTGAATACCATTTTCCTCTGGTGGCATTATGGGCTTAGAATGTGGTCCAAAGGGACCTTGACTCATGGGAGCCATGTGGCCAGAAAGCACTGTGGCTTTTCCTTGAAGTGCATTAACTAGAATGTTATCTTGTAAGGTTCTACAGGCGCGGCAGGGCCCCGGCTCTTCACCATCCACCTGATAGATGCAAATACAGACAACCTTCCGAAGGCCCACACCTGGTAAGGACCGCTGCTATGGTATCACTATGTCTGGGAGCCTGTTTCTGGAGGATGTGGTTGTTCATGAGACAGAGTCTCACTTTGTTGTCCTCAGTAGAGTGCCATGGTGTCACAGGTCATAGCAACCTCAAACTCTTGGGCTTAAGCAATTCTCTTACCCCAGCCTCCCAAGTAGCTGGGCGCCAGCCTCCCAAATAGTTGGGACTACAGGCGTCTGCCACAACCCCCAGCTATTTTTACAGATGAGATCTTGCTGTGGCTCAGGCTGGTCTTGAACTCTGAGCTCAGGCAATCCATCTGCCTTGGCCTCCCAGAGTGATAAGATTACCGGCATGAGCCACTGCACCCAGCCCTTACTTTCTTATTTGTAGGACTTTATTTGTAGTTTCATTTATGCAAAGTCTCAGATAATGACTGGCAATAGCACTTATGTCAATGGATGAATACTTTATACTATGCCATAGAAGAGAGTTATCAAAAGTCATTTTTTTTAAATGAAACTAATTGAGCTATGTAATTATTTAGTGTTGGTGTTTCAGCAACAACTTGTGGCTTCCACTCCAGCAGGCTCTAGTGTTCATCTTTGCTGGGGCTCAGTGCATTACTAATTGTGCTTGTGCATCTGTCAGTAGCGAAGATTGTACAGTTTTAGTTTGGATTTATTGGTCTTTATATGACATTTCTGGGTCCCCATTTTCCTTCCGGGAACTTTGTCTACAGCAGATGTACCTTGTCCACTGAAAAATGTTTTTCTCCTAAATTTTAATTTAAAAATTAATATCCACAATGATTATTTTCTTTATGGTTTAAAAATCCAGTCACCTACATACACATTGTTTTGGAACCATTTGTTGAGAAGAACAGCGATGTCTCCTTCAGGAGAGCTGGTTCCAAATGTTGCCAAGATGCAACATGATATGACTTGGAACCCAAGAGTGTGTGTTCAGATGCTGGCTCCAACACTTCTAATGATGTGATTTGGATATGTTAATATTCTATCTGGGTTTTCCACATCTGAGAAACAGGTGTTCTGGGCTATAGTGGGTTACCAAGCTCTGCCCTGAGCATGGCTGTGGTGTCTGTTATAGGCACCTGCCATGTTGACACATGGCAGCTGTGCTCCTTAACATATGGCTTTTGTCCTTTAGTAGTTTAGTGTTTGGAGTAAGATGGATATGAAAAATATCCTCTGATGCTAAAGCTCCAGAAAAAGAGTGCCTGCCATCAAACCCAATTCTTCCCTGACAAAAACCATCCATAATTGCTTAACCCCTAGAAATTCAATAGGCCACTAAATGTCTCTGGGTCACAGTTTTGTGTTTCTCAATTTGTTATATGATAATAAATTCTTAAAGGATGTAATTTTCTTTGCACAAATACTGGAAATGAATTTCCCCATGGAAATATTGAGTCAGAAGTTTAATATGCATCTCATCTTTCACAGACTTGACATTTTATTAGTTTTAAGACCTAGCTTACTTTTGCAGGGAATTTTCCAGACTGCCTCATTTTGGTATTAAGAAGAATCAAATCCCAAAAGAATAGACTGATAACACAAGAAGTTGTTAGTGTTGACTTGACTAATGGCCAGTCTTGGATTATAGGGGCTGTCAACGGGGTATTCCCAGTATAGAAAAATAATTTCTCCCAAAAATAGACAAACAAGTTGAGAGCTTTGTCCTAATATAAGCAGTTAATAGTAATTTGGTTCTAATTTGGTTTTGAAGGTCTTAAGATTTATTTTGCTGTATGTTGATTAAAACCTGTTTGCATTAAAGAATAGCAGTGGTAAAGTGGAGGACTCACACTGCCCTCCCTGCCCTGCAAACTAGACAATGAAAGCTTCCCACATTTCTCTGCACCCGCACCCACTGCACCAACCCCCACCACTAGGTGCCTATCCTTGACCTTGAAGTTGGTTCTAGGGCTAGACTGCCCCTAGCAGTGACTTTTCCTCCTTTGTCCTTTTCCAGCTTTAACCGGATTGACATCCCACCTTATGAATCCTATGAGAAACTCTACGAGAAGCTGCTGACAGCTGTGGAGGAGACCTGTGGGTTTGCTGTAGAGTGAAGAGCAACCAAAGGCAACAGAGTCTAGCTCATGACCACCAGACCAAAAGCATATAGCTTCTGTGTGCCTCCCACAAAGCTGGCTGAGGCCCTGGAATTCTGGATTATCTGAGGGAAAAGGGTTGTCTACCTCCTTTTATTAGAGGAGGGGGACAGGAGACTTTCATTGGTGGCTCCTACCCATATATCCCTCCTTTTGTTATAGTACTCCCAACCCCTTCCATGACCCATCCAATAAAATATAGCCAGGTTTAGCCCTTGGCCTTGGTCACACAGGATAGTTTGCAGTTGCAACCCATGTGGTGATAAGGCTCACAGTCCTGTGCACTTTACAGGAGCATCAACCAACCCACAGTTAGGGGACTGAGCCAGGCTTAGGGTTTGGAACTGGTAGAGATACCAGTTGTTCCATCTCAGAACAATCTTGAGGCCCTTTTCACATTCAGAAGCAACTGGAAATCTTACCGGAGCTCAGATTCCAAATTTTACATCATTGAAGCCTGTTCTGGGTAGCAGATTGGTTTCTAACTGAAAAATAACTGTATATTATACACTTATTGGAATTCTGCCACAGCAGGAAACGAGTCAAAATGTTTTTTCCCTTTGAAAGGTGAAGGAATTAGACCAGCTTTTACTGGAGGCCCAGGGGGTTTTATTCTGTTTTGTTTTTTTTTTTCAGGGTATCCTGGCTGGAAATTTGTTTTGCACAAAGAAAAATGATCTTTTCTTTTTAAGGGTCCCTTTTGCTGCATTATCTATCCAGTTTGACATGTTTTTTGGTGAAAACACCAAGTAACAGAGCTTATAAAAAGAACAGACTTAAACCAGCCCCAGAGCCAGTCAGTCCCAAAGCTGTGACTCTTGTGCCACCATTGTATGTAGAGAAACATTGACTGTGTCACTGAAAAGTATTAACAAACTATGCTACATTAATTGCTGAGAGCTAAACTAACAAAACAAAATTCTGTGATCATAGCTGCTGGGTTGGTGTGAACTCCCTTAAAAGAAAGGGAGAAAGAGTAATCTCAAAGTCATAAATTTACCCAAAGTGTTCTTGTTTTACAAGAAGTAAGGCATGGATTCAAACCTATGACCTCAGAGAGGACAACTCCACACTGACTCATTTGGCTCTTTCCCCAAGAGCGGATGGTGACACTAACAACTAGATTCACTTGCCCAAATGTCTGTATATGATGAGGAAGGCCAAAGCAAGCTTAGACTCGAAGTTTCCATTTCCAGTTTGCACAAAAGTTCAAACAGTATTTTATTTTAAACAAAGTGGCTTGATTTCAGATAGCCAGACTTCGGGAAAAAGCAGCAGCAGCAGCAGCAGCAGCAGCAGCAAATTTTCCTGTATGGTTTGTTGTTGTTGTTTTTGTTTTGGGGTGGGGGTGAGTACAGGGTAATCTACTAGCAAGACATTTCACTGCTGTTGAAGTCTCTTTAAGCAATGGGATCCAGGGCTGTGAGTCTGAGGTGGCCTAGGAAGAACCTTTTGAACAACTGTTTTTATCTGTTCTTTTTTGTTACTGTTGCCTGTAGACCTCTGTGGTGGCTGTGAAGGATACTTACCCTCCTGCATCCTGCTGTGGCTCCTTTGCCTGCCCCAGAAGCAGTTTGTGGTCTGATGTGGGGAATGCTCAGATATCACAGGTCATAGACTCTCCCCCTGACAGGAGGCATGCCCATTTGATGTGCTGTGAACTGTGAGAGAGCCACACTTCTGGGTTGCTGAGGTTCTAGGATAGACTGGCAGCAAGAGGAAAGTTTTATCCATTCAAAATGTCCAGGCCAAATTGGGCTTATTCTCTTGCACAAATTCTTCCTTGTCCCAGTTGGGCTTATCCTTTGTCTCATTCATAATGATGCTTTCTGAGGTTGTTCTAGAAACTGGTTCCCCGGTGAGTCTATCCCGTCTTCCCTTAGTCTTCCTCTTGAAGATGAGGAAGTGAAAATGACAGACCTCCCGCAGAGTGTCTGCTCTCTAAGTTGAGCCTAAACCGTGGGAGGCATAAAAGACAGCCAACAGAGAACTGACGCTGTCTCCAGAATGAGGTCAGAAGCACTGCCTGATTTTCCTGGTGGTGTTACCCAAAATCTTCACTAATAGGAAGGAAACCAGGGTCTTGTGGTTTAAAAGACTTTGAAGCAGGAATGTTGCATACGACGCCTTTAAAACTACCTTCTTGCTGTTGGGAGGAGTTGGGGGCGGGCCTTAGAAGCCACATCCGCCAGCCTCTTGCCGGTAGGTGCTGCCTCTTGTGGGTCAGTGTCACTTCATCCAAAATCCAGAGGGTTGTGTCCTGGGGCCTCTTTGGCCCGGCAGACACGTGAGTTCCCATCCCATACAGGCCTCATCTCTGCTTTTCTACTTGCACGGGCGCGTGGGTTTGCTGCCTCTTTCTTGGGCACCGCCATAGCTGTGTGAGTGTCGCAGACGTTTTAGAGCTCCAGTTCACTCTTCCCAAACAGGCCTCTCTGTCAGTGGCATTGTATTTCTGGAACCTTAAATACCTATAATGGTTTGGTCTTTTTAAACCACCCCAAAGAACACAAGGTGGCAAGCAAATGGTAAAAGCTCCCGATTGCTCCACTTTGGTCCACGTGAAGCCCATTCACGCGTGATCTTGTTCGTTGCCTCTCTTGGTGGTCCCAGACGACCCACCCACTTCCCCTTGCCCCTCTGCCCAGATGCTTCAGGGGCATGACTTTGCAGGCTTGTCCTCACCAGCGGTCATCAGCCGACACTCAGGGACGTAGCAAACCACCCCTCTGCCAGTGCTTCCGTAGGAAAGGCCAGGGCTGCCTGGGGTGCTTGGGGTGACAGGGAACAGCTCTCTTGAGTTCTGAAGGAGGATCTGCCACCAGATCGAGCTTTGACCCCTCAGCTTTGTTCAGCTGTATGGTTCAAATTCAGGCTAGGTGGTCATCAAATCTGACACGTCAGGAATGGCCTGCAGAGAAAATGCTGCCCCATCCCACCTGCAGCCAGGTGTGTACCCCACGGCAGCCTTCCCCAAACATAGTATGAATTTTTAAAATTTGTTTATTTTTGTTTCTCAACCACTTTATAATGTATTTTTTAATTTATTTTGTAATGTCTTGTTTTTAAGTATTGCTGCTATCCTTGTTATTCTTCCCACCGTTTTTATTGCTGATTTATTTTGTGGAAGTTGTACACTAATGTCCTGTTTTATGTCAAAATCAAAAGTATTTAAAGAAATACTAGTTCTATTTAATGTGGTTATGGAACCAGCTGGAAACACAAAACAAACAGTGATTGTACAGCAGGCTGGACCCGGGAGGTCAGGTTCATTTTGTTACATATGCAATAAACTCACGACTTTACATTTTTGGTGTCTGTTATTTTGATGTGGAAATGAAATTCCAGTTTCTTTACAATCCTAGAAGAAAGGAAGTCAAAAAATACTGGCAAGGGCAGTTTAAGGAAAAAGGCAAAGTTAAGGATAGAATTATTAACAGAATATTGAGAATATGATACAGTTGGTTGAAAATACTCTATCAAAACTGGTAGTAGGCTCGGCGCCTATAGCTCAACCGGCTAAGGCGCCAGCCACCTACACCTAAGGTGGTGGGTTTGAGTCCCCAGCCCGGACCCGCCAAACAATGACGGCTGCAACCAAAAATAGCCAGGCATTGTGGCCGGCGCCTGTGGTCCCAGCTACTTGGGAGGCGGAGGCAGGAGACTCGCTTGAGCCCAGGAGTTGGAGGTTGCTGTGAGCTGTAATGCCACGGCACTCTACCCAGGGGGACAGCTTGAGGCTCTGTCTCAAAAAAAAAAAAACTGGTAGTATTGGAAAGTTTAAAATTTGTTGACTTCTTTACACATTGGTCATATTTGTTGATTTGAGGGTTGTTAATTTTTAAATACTTTTTTACTGTAGTAAAAATACAAACAGCCCTCCGTGTCCATGGGTTCAGTATCCATGAATTCAATCAAGGACCAAAAATAGGAAAAAGAAATGGATGGTTTTTGTCTGAACATGTATTGACTGTTCTTGTCATTATTCCCTACACAACACAGTTTAACAGGTATTTATGTAGCTTTTACATTGTATTAGGTTTTATAAGTAACTAGAGGTGATTTAAAGTATACAGAGGCTATGTGTAGTATGCAAACACGACATCATTCTATATCAGGGGCTTGAGCATCTGTGGATTTTGGTATCCTTAGAAGGTCCTGGAACTAATCCCCACAATACTGAGATGCGACTGTATACATAGTATGACTTTAACCACTGGTAAGTATACAGTTGGTGGCATTACGTATAATATGTTCACAATGTGGTGTGACCATTCCCACTATCTATACCAAAAAGGTTTTCATCATCCCCAACATGAACGCTGTCCCCATTAATCAATAGCTACCTATTCCCACTCTCCCATGATTTTGGTGACCTCTATTCTACTTTCTGCCTCTATGAATTTGCCTCTTCAATGGAATCACACAGTACTTGTCCTTCTGTGTCTGGCTTATTTCACTTAGTGTAATATTTTCAAGGTCCATCCGTGTTGGAACATGTTATCAAAATTTCATTCTTGAAAAACATTCCATTGTAGAATGACCACATTTTGTTTATCCCTTCATCTCTTGATGGATCCTTGGTATCCACTTGACCTGGCCATGATACCCAGTTTTTCATCAAAAATCAGCCTAGATGTTGCTATGAAGGTGTGTTTTAAATGTGGTTAACATTTAAATAAATGGACTTTGAGTAAAGCAGTGTACCTTCACCTCATCAGCTGAAGGCCTTAAGGGAAGACTGAGGTCCCCCAAGGAAGAAGGAATTCTGCCTGTAGGCTGCCCTTAGACTCAGGACGGCAGCCTCAAATCTTCCCTGGGTCTTTAGTCTTCCCTGCCGAGTTTGGACTTGGCAGCCCCCACAATTGTGTCAGCCACTTCATTATAATAAACATATTTTTTTCTCTCTCTGTCTATGCATCACACATACACATACATCCTATTGGTCCTTTCGCTGGAGAACACTGACCTGTGTACTTTGGTTCTACCTTTTTTGGCTGTTGTGAATAATGCTGCTATTAATACAGGTATACAAATATCTGTTCAAGTCCCTGTTGTTGATTCTTTTGACTCCAGACCTAGAAGTGAAATTGCAGGGTCACATTGTGATTTGATGTTTAACTTTTTGAGGAACCACCAAATTGTATTCCACACTGGCTGCATAAATTTTACATTCTTACGAGCAGTGTGGGAGTGTTCTAATTTCTCTGCATCCTCACCAACACTTACTTTCTGTTTTGTTTTTTAATAATAACCATTCTAAGTAGGTGTGAGATGGTATCTCGCCTTAGTTTTTATTTGCCTTTCCTAACAATCTTGAGTATCTTTTCAGGTACTTATTAGCCATTTGTGTATCTTCTTTGGAGAAATGTCTATTCATGTTCTTTGCCCTTTTTTTCCTTTGTCCATTTTTAAATTCGACTTTGTTGTTGAGTTGTAGGTATTTATATATTCTAGATGTTAATCCCTTATTAGATATTATTTGCAAATTTTTTCCCATTTCATAGGCTGCATTTTCACTCTTTCCACAGTGTCCTTTGATACACAAAGGTTAATTTTGGTGAATCGATTTTTATATATTTTTCTCTTGCTTGCCTGTGATTCTAGTGTCATATCCAAGAAATCATTCCCAAGTCCAATGTCATGAAGATATTCCTCAATATTTTCTTCTAAGAGAGTTAAAGTTAGCTTTACATTTAGCTCTGATCCATTTTGAGTTAATTTTTATATATGGTGTGAGATAAGGGTTCAACTTGATGATTTTGCATGTAGATATCTAGTTTTCCCTGTGTCATATGTTAAAAACACTCCTTTCTCCAGCCAAGCACTGTGGCTCATGCCTGTAATCCTAGCATTCTGGAAGGCCAAAGCTGGTGGATTGCCTGAGCTCACAGGTTCGAGACCAGCCTGAGCAAGAGTTGAGACCCCGTCTCTTAAAAACAGCTGGGCATTGTGGCAGGAGCCTGTAGTCCCAGCTGCTAGCTGTAGTCCCAGCTGCTGACACTCTTGGGTCAGTCCTAGCTGACACAAGAGAATCTCTTGATCCCAAGAGTTGGAGATTGCTGTAAGCTGTAACACCAGGGCACTCTACTGAGGGAGACAAGTGAGACTCTATCTCAAAAAAAATAAAGACTCCTTTCTCCATTGACTAATCATAGTACCCTTGCTGTAAGTAAATTGGCCATGCATGAGGATTTATCTCTGGTTTCTCTCTTCTATTACATTGGTCTATATGTTTGTCCTTATACTAGTACTGTGCTGGTAAGTATGTAAGTAAACTTTATAGTAAACTTCAAAGTCTGGAATTATAA